AATGAGCAAATTGCTTGTTTTCCTGCGGTGAACAGAAAGCAGCTACATGACCGTAAAACACAATGCCCTGTATGTGTCAACGTATTCTGCTTGTGTCTGCAGAATAGCAATACGTTGTTTCAGCTTTAATTTCTGACCACAAAACTGTTGGCTTTCTTGCTGCAAAGAAATGGATTTGGGTGCATGACACAGATGCAGTTCTGCTTCCCACACATTGGGAACATTGGGATTCAGGGAGCTGACTTGTGCCACTTTTTTTTTAATTTTGTTTTATTAGCATTATCCAGTTAGTATTTCCCACTACTAGGAAATACAATATAGATAACGATGATCTTAACTTTATTTTATACACCCTGATTTTCCCCCCTAAGCTTTATTTTATATTGTAATTGCTTCATTCTTGCTCTGTGCTAAAGTGAAATATCAAAGAGATTTTTGCAGAGCTTTATATCTAGTGGAACGACTGCTGCTGGTATGCTTGGGCAGAGCATTAACTCCAGAAACAAAGTGTGAAGAGGGGCCACCCTGCTCAGGGCCACTCCACAGGCATGTCCGAGCAGCCACAGCTCAGCAGACAGGATGTGTGCTCTGACCCGGGGACGCTGTCCAGACCTTGTGCTTGGAAGAAGATGGGAACGGGGTCCACAAGGAGGAGTTTAGGATTTTGTTGATTTAACCCTCTCAAGCTGTTTAAAAATAACATTTCCTGTACTTAAAACATATCTCTGCTAATCTGGCGTCCCTTGGTCTTTTATCACATTTTTTTTTTCTTTGTTGGGGTTAATGAGCTCTCAGAAAACAACTGGGGGCATGTAACTGCTCTAGCATGAAGCTTTGGGTTTAAGGGACTGGACCTTGGGGCCCCTCTGTCCAGGAAAGATGCCAGATATGGGCTTTTGCCTTGAAGGGTATCCAAGAGATGCAGAGATGGTTATGGGATCAATAACCAGAGAGGCTTTCTCTAGCATGAGGGGCCGAGCCAAGGTTAAGCACTGCTGGAGAGAGCCAACATATCCAATTGGGGTCTGGTGGCAGAGCATTAGTGTCAAACAAATGTCATGTGTGCTAGGGCAATGGGGTCCGTAAAGGTTTTACGCTAGTGCCCCGAGTCTGGAAATTTAAGAGGTCATCTGGAGACTACAAAGGGAAATTACTTAAAACTTGAGGCCATTACTAAAGGGCTGAACTGAAAACCTTGCTAAAGAGCCACAAAGCGCTGACAAATCCTTCATCTGAACTCCATGGTCTGGGCTTATTGATGGCCAAAATCAGAACTGCCTTTCTTGTTTAAAAAATATGCATGTGAGTACCTATCTCAGTGCAGAAAACTCAGCAACTTCAGGTCCTGTTTCTGCTCATTACAGGCTTTTTTTTTTTTCCTTTTTTTTTTTTTTTTTTCCCTTTCCTGCTGGAACTGCTTAATTTGTATGACCAGCAAAGCATTCACTGGATTAAAGCGCCTGCCAATATAATCTAGTAGCCTGGACAACACCGGGGAAATGGAAACCCCCATGCAGGTCTCCAAACCAAGCACAACAAGGCCTCCTGCATTTCAGGGAGGCATCACTGCAGTTTCTGAGCCAAAAGTCCATCCCGAGGAAGCGCTTCCCACCGACGTGTTATTGAACCTGGCACGTTTCCATTAGTCAGTCTCACGTAAAGAAACCCTGGTGCAGGGGGGTGCTTCTCAAGGGCTCTAATCAAAGTCAGCAGTAAGGGGACCATGATTTCATCCCACTTCAAGAACAAGTTCAAAGGCATCTTAGACTCAGAGCATCTGCTAGAAGAAGATGTGGCCAATATTTCTTAGCAATTAGACTGTGTTGCTTATCAGAAAATGCAACAAAATAGACTTATTCTGTTTTCTTGCCTCCCCCAATACATTCCTATTGTTTATTTTGATTCAAGAAGAGAAACAATAGGAAAAAAAAAGTTCACCAAATGTAAAGTTTGCTGATGTTTTTCACAGAAATATTTGCCACTGGAGGTCAACTCCACGTTTCCAGCGGTAATTTAATAACCCGAGTCTATCATATTGGAAATCCCTCTGGACTCTTAACAAACTAGGCAGACATTCATGGGTCATTTTAGAAACATCAGCGTGTACTTTGAAGATGACTCCAGAATCCCCTCTGTGTTATAGATTCTTGTTGGACAAATTGTCCCTGAATCTATTTTTTTTTTCTTTTCCGCAGCGTTATGAGAAAGCGTTGGTTTCTCCAGCTAGAAAAGTCTATCTGTGGTCACACAACAACACTGACATTTGGCAGAGCACAGCAATATTCATTGAGAAAACAAAGGAATAGACAGGAAGCCACCTGAGGAAGATCTTTTTACTGAAAATTGTCCAGGATAACAATAACATTTAAAAATCACTCAGAAAGCAAAACCAATGCTAACAATAGTTTAACCGAGTCCCACTGCTCAGCCTGCCTGAAATGATGATGTTGCATTTTTTGAATGTCTTTTACTTCTTTCAATGTGCATGTTTTTGTGGTGAATTTCCTTCTTTTTATCATAAATTAAAAAAGGAAACTTTTTTTTCCCCCCTCAAAAAAATGATGTGCTCAAACCTAAGACAAAATACTCGTCCAAGTCAATGCAGGCTGGATTTGTCAGCCTCTGGATTACACGGGGCAGCAGGCAGGCAGAAGCTGAGTGAGCATGCAGGGTCCCTGTTGGAGATGCTTGAGGCCAAGTGCTTTTTGGCTAGTCCAGAGTTTGTTGACTCCTGGAGAAGAGCCATGGGGCAGCACCACTGCCTTTTTCGATCAGAGGATCTGGGCAGGAGCCAGCTGCTGGCCCAAAAGGAGAGGAGCAATTTTCATCCTCCCTCATACCTGTATCATGAGTAAGCGTCACCATTAATTTTCTTGCCTCCTCCTAGAGCAACGCACACATCTAATATATATTTTTTTTTAGTAGATGAGAGGAGGCCCTATAAAATGAGCATAACCTCTAAAAAAACCTCCCTGCATTGCTCCAGACAATATGCAGCCTTTTTGGGATGAGCTGGCTGTGGACCTTGGCTGGAATAACACTAATAAAACAAGAGCCCAGGCATCCTCCCGCTGCCTCAGGAAAGCTGTCCAGAAGCCAGAGGTAAATCCGCCGCCTGCGGCTGCTGCCCGAGGGGTGTGTGGTGGTCTGTCTGTCTGTCTGTCCATCCCTGCTGGGAGAAGAGCTCCACACAGGACAGATGGCTTTTGTTTAGTGGGTGAGGACGGAGTGGGTTTCTCTGAGGCAAGAACTGGAAGTGTGTCCCTGGATAGTCTCTGGAAGTGCATGGGTGTCTCTGCGGGCTCTGAGTGTCCAGATCCACAACATACTTAGGCATATGTGTAACCAGACATGGTGTCCAACAAAGCGCTGCCAGTTCCAGCAGGATCCAAACAGCTTCCAGGAGCCTAACTTTCCAAGAAGTTTTTTTTTTTCTTCTTCTTTTTTTCTTTTCTTTCTTCTTTTTTTTTTTTTTTCTTTTTTTTTTCTTTTTTCTTTTTTTTTTTTTCTTTTTCCTTTTTTTTTCTTTTTTTAAGACACTGAAACCACCTCCTTTCCAGCAGCTGGACTAAACTCACTTTGAGGTAAGGCAGGTCCTACCCCTCATGAGGAAAAGTATCCATAAAACATTGTAAGAGATTTTGCACGGCTAAACACTGCCCAGTTATAAAAACAGAATTAATTCAACTCCAAAAAGTTGTGAGAAAGTCTGAGCAAAACCAACAATGATTATAGGTACCTCCTCATACCACAGCTAATTTCCAGCAATTCCACTGTACATTCCTTGGCCAGCAGAGTTTATTGAATAACGAAATCACCAGGTGACACACAATCAGATTGAGAAGCCTCGAACATGAATGAATACTGGTTTCCTGGTTCTGAAAGGAATTTAATCATGTAAACTTTCTACCACATTCTAGAGACAGCTGAAAAGCAGTGATACCCTTGGGCTCATCTTCGTGGTACTTTCACTGATACTGAAGGAAACCCAAGCTGCTGCCTGACAGGTACTTGAGCACAGGGCACAGCTCCTACAGATTTGGGAGGAAAAAACCTCTTCTTGTCACCATGTAAAGTAGCCTTTTCTGGCTGGGATTCACACATCATTAAAATGGACACATCATAAAAGCAGACACTTCATTAAAATCAGAAAGATGTTTAAAACTGAGAGTGTGGGATAGTTTATTAGAACTTTACAGAGAAGAAATCAATCACAATCCTAATAAAAAAAATATTTTTTCATCTAGTAGTATCCAATACACATTGTATTGTAAACAGTGTTTTCTCTTATATAAAGACAGTGTTTCTCAGCAAAAAAAAAAAAAACCACTTAATTGAAATAATGACTCACATTTCAGCTGCAAAGCTAGACATGCACATTTCTTTATTGTGCCAAGTAGGCTAGAAACTAGTTAGCCTTGGTATGTATTAGAAGAACATGCTTAACCCACAAGTCAAAGCAAACAGGCGAGTTGAATTATTTTTGTGTCCCAATATTCACTCATTTAACACATGTTAAAATGAAAGTGTATCAAAAAGTGTTCGTGATTCATTTATAGAGTGAATTTACCCACATTCTGAAATGATGCTGGAAATTTTAAAGTGTCAAAGCATGCATTTACTCACATATATTTTCCTTCTTATATTTCAGAATGCAGACTACGCCTAAATAAATGACAGATTTAATCAGACAAGTTTTAAAGTGAAACCATGAAAGATCTTCCATTTTGTTCTGAAAACCATTGTAAGAGGAGCTGCACAGTAGCAGCTTGTGATCTGCATTTCCTTAAACGTCGCGTCAAGTGGTTTCCATGCAGTTGAATAGTCAACACAAAATTTGGAGGAACCCCACTTGTCAGCAATAGTTACTAACTGAAAAATTTTTGAGCTTGGTAAATTAAAACTTTCCTTGCCGAATTTGCATTTTTTTCATGTTGGGGAATGTTCACATTATTCATTCAACTATATCACATCTGATAAACATACTTTTCCATAATACCTTTGAGGCCCTCCTTAAAGAAACTACTGAATCAAAGCCCAGCCCCATGAATTACAGAGCCATTGCACGGGAGCTGGTGGGGCAAGAGCAGCGCGAAGAGGATTCCTGCTTTCCAGCAGCCCATGCTTGTGCCAGATCAGTGACTGCATTACCATGGCCTTCTGTAAATAGGAAATGTATTTCTTCTCCTGGATTATATGGCAGGGAATGGGAGATTTGACTTTTAAATGAGGGGAAAGTAGAAGGCTAAAGCCTCCAAATCCACACAACTGCAAGGGCTTGAGTAATGAGCCCACGGTAGAAATCCTTGCGGAGACACACTTCCAACAGGCTGCTTTAAAAAGAGCACTTTGCACATTTGTCATCAATACAGCCCAGGTGCCCTACAGAACAGCAATATCTTGCCTTCCAGCCTTTCCAGGGAATAAACACCAGGCCTCAGGTGGGTGTTAGCTGGCGATGGATCTGCGCCCACCTACCAGCTGCATCTGTTTATGGGGGATCTGCTCCTGCTAAACACAACGCCGTGATGCTGCTGTTACACACCATGGGTCAGCAAAGCTGGCATGAGCCTTTCCTGCCTCTCCATTGCTCAGCCCTGCCAGAGCAGCCTGCATCTGTTAGCCCAACTGATACCTATTAACCTGCTGCCCCAAATGCAGAGGCACCCGTGCATTCTGCAGGTTAATCCTTGCAAGGCATCTTAACGCGCTTACAGTAATTTTACAGTAATTATAACCAGCAGTGCACAAAACAGCTGGCAGGAGGTTTGTGAAAATAATGTCTGGGCTTTTGGGTGGGATCACGTGGGCTCACAGAGAGGAACCAAGGGAGAAGAGGGTGGTCAAGACCTCTCCGCTGACATTTCTGCACTATTTGGCACAAAGAGTCAGGAGCACAAGACAGACCTGCGTTAGGATACATGGGGTCACTGCTGTAGATGGCACCAAAAGTGACCAGTCTGAGCTGCTCAATACTGAAAGGATCTTCATTGCTGGGATCTTGTCTGAAGTCTGCTCTTACACTTCTGGCTGTCAGATTCCACTTAAAAACTGTGTTTCATTCTCACTTTGTAGATGCAGCATCTGTCCCGCTTGTTCTACTGGGGGGAGGGAGGGAGGGAGATATGTAATTAAGTGCAAATAGGGTTCTCATGATGCAATACAGACTCACATAATACTTCCCAGGTGCCACTGTCTCAAACGACTTGGCAGGAGTTTCCCGGTTGCAAGGCGAGGATTTAGGAATAGCAGCGAACTTGTGTGGTCCTGCAGAGCACTCCTCACGTGCACTGCTCCGACACCGCGCTCGGGAACAGTTCTGCAAGTCCCCGCTCATGGCTGGGCTGGTATTTTGAAGGGAAGTTTGTTCTAGTTTTTGTGCTCCCCCTGCGCCTTCCCTTAAGACAGCCTCCACTTTAAAACCAAATTCCCTGAGTTTATCACAGGGTGATAGTGCTGTCAATCCGCTGCAAGCGGCTGGTTTGTGTTGGGTTCAAGAAACACAGCATTAGGACTGAAAAAAGAAGCACAAAACAAAACAAAAAAAACACAACCAACCAACCAAAAATAAATAAATAAATAAATAAATCACAACACCAAACCTTAAGAAAGCCTTACGGAAAGCGTAAGGAGTACAGCAGGTTGCATTAAAATACATGCTGGCGATTTAGGAGGAGCTGACTCGTTTGCTATTTGCAGTCACTCAGAAAGAGGGAGAATGAACTGGCACCAGACTAGGATGAGGGATGTGGCTACTGAGTCTGCAAAGAGGCTGAGAATGGGCCATGCTGCAATTTCCACCTCTCCCAGCACAGACGTTTCCTCTCTGCCATGACTGTACTGGGTAGCATGGGCTTATTTTTCTAGCAAATTCTCAGTTGATGAATTTCAGCTGCTTATCACAATCTTTGCCTTTTGGCTGGACCCCAAAATCATTCAAGCAGTTGGCAATGGGAATTGAGATAGGTACTATGTTATTTATTTATTTTAGTAAGTAAAAGTACAAGCCAGTGATTTCTCTGCAAAATGATTGCTCATCCCAGACTAAGTTCCTGCTACTGCTGCTCCTGTCTCAGGCGTGGCAGGTGTCTCAATACATTGATAATACACTGCAAACTCTGACAAGGAGCTTTATCAATCAAAACAAGCCCCGCTGTTCAGCCTAACAGGAAAGTTCAATCACTCTCCTCCGGTGGAATCCGTCGACACGTAATGCTTTCAGCCCAAGATAATGTTAGGCTGCAGATTTGGATCTGCTCTCGCTGCTCCGGGGCTATTTATATCTTTGTACCTCGAGGGTTTACTAATTAGCAGCCTTCTTCCACACCCCTTGATATCATTAAAGTAATCTCAGTGTAAGCGACTACCCTCTGATGATATCTCCGAGGGAGTGGAGAGCAGCTGGAATCGTTTGAAATAGCATCGCTGGAGCGCTTCTCCCCAAGCAGCGGCAGCAAGACCGCAGGAGTTTTGCCTATGCGAGCACAGCCAGCAACACACTCTGGCTTGCTCAGGGTGGCTGCTGGGCTGTGACAGAGCTGGTTTCAGCTGGGTCTAGGGTCTGTAGGTACTAAGGGGGTCAGCACGGGCTTTTTCCAGAAAAACTTTTGAGAAAGCAGCTGAGAGCTCTGTGCGGCCTGCCTGGAGTTACTCAGCGGTTCCCACACTGTGCAGACTCTCTAGGCACCAGCTTCCCATGTGGGAGAGCTGGGATAACTCATTCAGAACCCAAATCTGGTGAAATCTCATCTCAGGTAGTGTCTAACAATGCGCTGGGTGAGGTTTACTTAAACCACAGAGGCTGCGTTTTTTTCCACATTACTCGCTCTGCTGCTCCACAACGCGGGTTAATTTAAAGGCCTGTCACTAACCGAGCAATGCACCCAGCACAGCACAAAGCTGGAGATGGGAAAAAGTTTTTTCCATGCTACAAATGCGCTTCAGACCAGGGCGACTCTGCTGCCTTCCGATTGCAGCTCCTACTCAATAAATGAGCCCTTGTAGGAAAACATGCGGTTTCCAATAGCCGCTTTGATATCTGCCATTAATTCCCTGCTCTCGCTTGCGTGGTCTCTTAGCAACTTCCTGCCCTTTGCTCCTTTTTATTCTTGTTCCTGTTCAAGCACTTCCTTTTGTTGCCGGTCTCTTGCTCCCCTTCAGGACCGCTTTAGAGAAAGCTAATAAAATCCTTCTGCAGATAGAAAGAACCAGATACAAACGGCTACGCGAGCGTATTTATGTTTATAGCACGAAGCAGGAGAACAGGCTGTCCTGGGTTCTGGTTTCCAACTGCAGCATAAATCCGTCAGCAAATGTGTTACAACCCCAGAGAAGGAAGCAGAAACACAAGAGCAGACACTGCAGGACATCCACTGGAGCTGCGGTTTGGAGGTCTCCCCCTCTCTCTTAATTCTTGAAGTGTGAAAGATGCTTTCACCCTGAATTAAAAGAGCACGTTTTATTTATTTATTTGATGGTGACTGTAGAAAGGAAGGAAGCAGGGGCCAATACCAGCACTAAGGACCGGGTACCATGCTTGAAGTCCTCCTTGGTTGTGAAAGTACGTGGTGGCCCCAGAGTAGTGTCTTGTGCCATACATAGAGCTTACAGCCCTGTGCCCAACCACCCAACTGGTATTCCTGGGAACTCGCCTTCTGGTCCCACCTTTTGATTTGAGCAGTTACTGATTCAGGAATATCATCCCCCCCTCAGTCAACCGAGGAGATTCATCTAACTCATGAACACAGAGCTAACTTCCCTTTGCTAGGCTTGGTGCCCACTCTGGTTTCTCTTTCACAACCCTGTCTCAGGATGGTAACAATTTCCTGCAGCAAGCAGCTGTTTCCAAAGGGAAAGCTGGCACAAGTGGCTTCTCAGAAGAAGGGAAAAGACATGACTGTGCTTTTCTCTCTCTCTTCCTCCCTCCCTTTAAATGTTTTGTATGCAGAGCCATGCTAGGAACAAACCTCACGACAAGCTAAGAGGATCACTTTGTCTGACTCAGGGAGTCCATCCCTGTTCTGGTGGAAAGAGATGACAGCAACATGTGCAAGAAAGCCTGGCTGAGCTGAAGCCTTAATGCGAGATGTTCACATCTTAATAGACTTTGAGATAAATGGCCTTTTCTCATCTCCCATATGGTTTTGCTTTCCATGCAGCAAGTGAATCATAACTCTGCCTGAAGGAAAGGAGCTGTCCGGCCACAGAGCTGGGAGCAGAGGGAAGGGAAGGTAAAAGGACAGGAAAATCGGAGGGGGAGAGAGATCATCACTGGAGAAGTCATTGTGCTAACAGGGAATGACAAGATAAAAATGATGGAAGAACTAATGAGTGGTGCAGGAGGCAGAGGAGAGCCTGCCCAACAGTTAGGGTGAAAGGCAGTGAATTTGTCTGCAAAGTCACCATCCCCCTGGGGTGCTGCACTCTCAGCTGGGTTTGCACCAAGCACCCTCACCTTGAGGGGCAGAGAAGAGCAGGCTTCCAGCCCCATATGGATCCATCTCACTCTCCCCTTTCATAGTTTCTATACTTTCCACTAAACTCCTGGTTTAGCCAAGAATGTAAATACAGGCTTTCCTGGAGCAAAGTAAGTAAATCCTACAGCAGTCAGCATGCTCCAGGCCAAATGCATGCTTAAGCACCCTGCTGGTTCGGGGTCTCAGGGGAAGGGTTTGAGGGGAGGTTGTCTAATTGCCACTGACGTCAGTGGGAGTTTTGCTGAGGATGTCACTGGGGCCGTGATCTCATTGTTGCTCTTGAAAAAAACAAAACTAGAAGCAATGCATGAATGGGCCGTGCTCCAGCACTATACTTACACTACTAACACTGCGTGCACTGAGTAAGTTGGGAGCTCCAAACAGTCTTTCACCCTAGCAATACTTTATACTCTAACATATTAGTTGTCAAGGTTAAAAAGATATAAAACATATTAAAAGCCAAAGCTAATGCACTCAATGAGAGGGCAGATCCATGCTTCAAGAAGTCTTCAGTTTTATAAACCAATTTAGGCCAGGTCTATTAAGAGCTTTTCCTGGTGACAGAGTGAGAGCATTTTCTCTGCTATAATCATATCAGCCTGTATTCTGGGTTAATGGAGATGAATATTACTGCCAGATTTTCTTCTTTCCCTGGATGTAATCTAATGCCAGATGGTTCTGAAGGGGTATTAAATCCCCCATGTGCATGACCTCCCTGAGGTTTTTATCATTAGAACCTTAAAATAATTCAAGGAAAGCTTTCCCAAAGCCTGATCATAAACCTCCTAATGAGGCACTGAAGTCACAAAGAAAATCCTCTTGTTAATTCCTGTTTGGTGTTTTTCCCCCTTTATGACAAATAAGCAGGAATTCGCAGTAACAGAGATGCTTTTAAACAGTTTCAGTGGAAAACACATAAAAATGAGCATTCAGGTTAACAGTTCAGGTTCCCAGCAGGGTCTGGAGATGCAGTAACTGATCAGCCATCTTCAGCCTCTAATGCAGGGCCCAGTAACGTCACCTTCCATCACAGCAAGCACAGCTCACTCTGTCAGCAAGTGACTGCTTTATTCCTGAAGTAACATAACACCTAGTGTCAGAATAAATATGATCCAGTGTCAGACGAGGGGCTGAACTTGGACCTCATCTACGCAGTAATACGAGGACTAACATGAACACCATCTTCACCCTAACTTGAGTTCAGCTACAGCAGCTAAGTTCCCAAAGGTTTTCCTCAGAATTTCCTGCCCCTCATCTGCACCGGGTGGATGGTGTGTTTTAATGATCTTATGTTCAGTTTTCTGCTTGCTGTTTACTGCATGGCACTGTGCCTTACTTCTGTGCTCATGCAGCAGTCAGCGAGACAAGATTGTTTGGAGCCTCATGGGCTTTCTGTACTTCTCATTAACAGGTCATCCAAAAAGCAACATAAGTATTCCTGCAGTTAGATCACATGCTGTGAGGATAGGGAGGAATGAAAAATAATCAGATTAAAATAAAGCAAAAAGCTACCACTTTCACTAATTTTGGGGTGTCCAAATCAGCCAGAAACCTTGGTTTTTTTTTCAGAGGCTTTTATAATTTACATATAAAACTCACTCTTTTATTAATACCTATTGCAGCTGGAAATACTCAGTGCCTGCAAAACCCAACCCTTGGCCAGAAACACAAAAGTAGGCTTCAGGTAAGTGAGAAAAGTGAATCCAGTTCATCAGGGTAGCATTCAAGTGCATAAGACCTTAATCGTGGGATGACCTTGCCTTGCCCTGAAGCCCCAGATTCACCTCCCATCACATAGGGAGGGGGAATCCAACAGACAGCATCCTTCCAGGATTCAGAGCCACTCAGGCCAGCAGAAGGTAGCAGAATAAGCAATCAAACCAGCCCTCTCCCAAAAGGCAGGAGTACCTGATCACATCCCCAGGCTCATCTCTCTGTGCAGTACATAGTTCCCTGGACAAGACACATTCTTGCAGGCTGGGCAGCATCCCCCTGTCCACACAGTGTGTCAGCAGGCACCTGCCTTATGTGTTGGCTGAGATGCAGGCAGTCTGGGGTGTTTAGGGATGGACAGGAACCCTTTACCATGGCAAGGGCTCAGAGCTGAAGCCATAAGCTCCAAACAAGCACTGGTGAAAGCAAGATGCTGATAGACAACAACTTTCTTCATTAAACTCATCAGTGCAAGTCTGCTCCTCTTACCTGCACCCCATTCTGTCCTCACCCCTACCCTTATCCCTATTTCCTAATTTACCCTAATTCCACCCCTGCCTCATACCCACTCTTCATGTCCAGGTGGCCCTCCCCACGCTGCGTCCAGCCCTCTCTTCTACTTGCTGCTCACTTCATTCACTCTCACTGTTCCTTATTAGCCTCGTTAGCAGCCCTTCATCTCACAGCATCACCTCGGAGGCCCATACTGACTCCGAGCCTGTTTTGCTGTGGTCCACCCCCTGCCCACTCACCCCTACTTCTCTGTCTGTTCTGCTCACACATCTCCACTGAGGGCAGCCTGTCCCACCCAAAGAGGTAACAATTTTGTTGGTAGGATAGATTCCTAAAAACTTTAAGGCCAAAGACTTCTCTGGGATTGGAAGATATCAATGGGGAATGGAGCATGACCAGGCCTGGCAGCATTTGTCCCCATCACTACTTTACGTCTCTCCCTGGACCAGAGCAACAGGGGCAAAACTGAGGACAGAAAATGGTAACGACACCATGCAGAGCTTTTCATCCTGCAGCCTGTGAAATCCTGCCCTGCATCTCATCTTTTACAGCCGCCTGCAAGTTATTCGTTCTCAAAGCCAAAAAAAAAAAAAAAAAACAAAAAAAGGAGTTGACGGTTTCTGTCTGCTCCTCGGATGCCACACTCAAAATGAAGAGAGGAGCAATGCTGCCACCAGCCCTCGTGGGGAGGAACCTGGTGGGGCAGGGACAGGGTCTGCTGTGTCCCAGGGGCCGGAGATGTTCCCTGCTCAGTGCCCCTGATGTGCTGGGGGGGCAGCGGGGGCTGGAGGACTTCTGCAGCACTGTGGGGACAAAACAATTTTACTAAAAAAGGAGCTGCACTCTGGCCAGGGCTGGCTCTGCCTGCATCCCTGCTGAAGTTGTGGCTACATGGGAAATATTAGCAAATTATAACATTTCCCTTTATAGCTGTGCTGCAGACCGTGTTTCCACATTGCTGCAAAGCCTGCTTTCCTTTGCTTTTTGTCCCTCAGTGCAATTTGACAAGGTTTTTTTCCCCTTAATATGTGGATTTATTTTATGTCACTGAGCGCTGGCAAGGACGGAGAGACTTTTAATTTGCAGTAATCTGAATTCTCGAAATAACAAGCTACAAAGGTCCATGATTAAATGTGGAGCGTAAGATATCTGCAAGAACAAGTACTCTGTGTTCTTTAAAAGATCGTTTAGATAATAGTGACATAACCTGAGTACCCGGTCGCGGTCCACTTTAATCAGGAAATATGCCTCTGGAGCAGAACCATCCAGCCTAGGAAAAGAAACAGAAGTAAAGCCCCTACCAGTAGGAGAAATTAATGCATTCCACTTCGACAGAGATTAATTATTATGAATCAGGCCAAAAATACATTTGCCCCAAGTGGGAGTACACTCTTTTCTATTCATCAAGTTGCTTTCAAATAATCATTAAACATCTTAAGACAGAAGACAATTTTGCTAACCCAAAATAAACATTGCTAAAAGTTACAAAATGAGGAATACCTTTTTTTTTTTTTCTTTTTTTTTCTTTTTTTTTTAAGTGTCTGCAGCATTTTGACCAAGGGTGGTTGCTTGCAAGAAAAAAGATAGACAGAACATCTGCTAGAGAAAATGTGTATGTATGCAGAGGACTCTGCTAATTCCAGTATATTTCTTCTTGCTTGCCTGTCAATGGTGATTTTCCCATATCATTTTTAATTCCTTGAATTAAATTTATATTTGCTAATAATTTTGTCCTGTTAGAGATCTTGACTATAGTCTCAATGACATCTCAAAGGGTTATAAATCAGATTTAAAGGACAAAAGTCACTTTTGTGGTATTTTGCAGAAGGATGATGATGTTTTTGGCTGTTTGGGACAAGCACTTGCAGGCTGGTTTATTAACAGGGGGCCTGGCTCCCTTGCATCACTGGTCATTTACACTTGATTTTCCATGTGTCTCTTGGTAGTCCTCAGCAGATTCGTCCTGGTGGCAGTGCTCTGGTTGGACATTCCTGGGTAAGGGAATGTGCAAGAACAACAAGTTAGACAAAATAAAAGAGGAGGGGGAGAAAAAAGAAAACAGAATGCAACATTAAAAAACAGCAGGAAACAAGTGTTTTGCCAACTGGAAAGTATTATTATTTTTTTAACTGAATTCTCATATGCAGAAAGTTTCTCCTGTGAAGCATTCCTCAAACCATTGTTCCACATCCATGGCTCAATACTTCTGGTGGACCAGGAATGAGAAACTTCTTCCCTTTGGCTTTGCAGGGCCAGGGTGAAGTGCAGAGCAGGCAGATATCATCTATTATTTAACCAGCAGATCCTGTGATGTTAATGAGGTTGATTCCACAGCTACCTTTATCTGGCAGAGTAAGAGATGGGCCTCTAGCTAAAGCATTTTCAGCAGTCCTCCTTTTCTTCAGTATTAGACTGTTATAATTTAAGGTTTAGTACTCATCCAATCTAAGCAGTGCTGATAGGCAGTGCTTCCACTGATGCTTTTTCCATTACAAAATAATGTTCTACCCAAACATACTTTGTTTGACACCAATAAATCAGGGCAGCTCTTTTAATCAGATCTTAGATTGAACTAGGCCAAATCTTTTTTAAAGCTTATAATATTTGGTGACTTTTCAAAGAAAACCCTTCTTTATTTTTTATTCTGTTTTAGTGGCACAGCCCAGCACTCCCTGTTCCTGGCAGCAGCTCAGAAGTGCTCTGAGAAATGCATCTCTTGTGGCAGCTTTGACCCAAATGAAATCGAGAAACCTTGGAAATCTCACGGGAGATGGATTTTTGTGAGTTTTCCAATTTAAACAGGTGGAGATAAACTAAGATAAGTGTCTGAGACAGATCTGCAACATGTGGAACGTTCATCTCTAACTAGAAATGTCTATTTTTATGGCCTTACCCCCTTTTTTTTTTTTTTTTGAGATAAGCCTACAGACACTTGATTAATGGCGGAGAGAGTAATGTAAATGAATGAATGGGGAAAATAGATGTAGTAGAAAGGAGCCTTCATTCTTAACTCTGATGAACACTAGCTTTCCAAAGGTGAGATTATTTTAATTGGCCAGCTAACGTTTCAGGATGGGTTTGAAATAACAGGGAGAGGTTCTCCAATAGCCCAGCAGTTCTGATGCTTTTCCGATGGAACAAGGACAAAGAGAAGCAACACATAATGGTTGTTTCTGTTGCTTAGATATTTAAAATGTGTTGCTTCAAATCAGATCTCAAGTTCTTCTACCATATTCACTATGCCAAAAAGAGAAACAGACATCTTTGTTTTCAGAACAGCTTTCTCAAGTCATACCACAGTTTATTTTACGGCTTCAATATCCTCTATATTTCTTTTACTCCACTTCTTCATTATGAACTCAACATTAGCAAGTGTTGCTAAGTAACATCCTTTAGACCCCTATAATTTTGCTACATGACTGCACTATAACCATACATTAATACTTCGTAAAGCAGTAACTATCAGCAATAAGCACTATATTACTTTAAGGGAAACCACAGTATGTTCTCATTACAGCTGTATGTGCCTCTGAATTGCACCCATCAGCAGGGTAATTCACCATTGCCAGAGGCGAAGGTGAACAAGTTCCCCGTTGAATTTACAGAAATATCGAAGCTTCTCTCAGGCAATGGATTTATGCAATGAGTTTAGTTGTGACTCATTTCCCTTGCATATTAAAAAGGAACTGCATCCACAGCCACTAGCTGCATACCTCCATGGGTGGGGGTCTACTCCCATAGACTGCTTCTCCTGTGTCATGCCAGGATGTCACCACGGAGAGTTGACAGAGGAAGAACACCATGGGAGGCTTGGTGGTTTGGAGCACTGGTCATGGGTCAGCCCCTTGGGCATAGATGGAAAATGATCATTAAGTGCAAGAAGTCCTGGATAAGGTCACCTACTGAATCTTGATATCCTAGAAGGTTCAACACCACAGGAATCCATTTACCTAAAGACAAGTGGCACAAAAAGACATATACCAAGAAATATTTTAGCTTAACTCCTGCCTTTACTGATTTGCTGGTGTTAACAAGAATGGACAGCCTGAAAACCCATGTCTCAAACAAGAGGTGATGATGGTGCTGGGGTGGTGTAAAGCAAGATGCTTATGAGCTGGGTGCCAACACACACAGAGTTCAGAGAGAGTTTTCTGCCCGCATAAAATTTGAGAAGTCAGACATATAATTACTGGAGAAAAAATATCATTTTTCATCCTTTTCATTCTGTGGTAAAAGAAATTAAAGGAAAAACAAATACCTTTAATAACTTCAAAATGTGCTTTGTCATCAATCTCAATTTGGTGTAACCAGCCTTGCAGGAAGTTCAAAAGCTGCAGTGGAACAAAAGTGGGCTTCAGGGACACTGGACATATCAGAAACACAGTTCAAATTGTGCCAGAAATTTAATGATATTTTACCATAAACCTAATTTTGAAGTGGAGACTTTATGCATTCATGAGCACATGTATATTTATAAATGCACACATATATAGAGGACTCATGGGTGCATGCTGCTGCATGCGTGTTCTGACACAAGCACAAATTTCTCTGACAGCAAAGGGAACAGGGTTTTTCAATAACTATATCAATAGCTTAATTTCACGTCCAGCATTTCCCCTTTTTTGCTCAGTTGAAGGTCTAGTATTGACACATTTCATTATGTAATTCAGGTTCTCTCTCTGTCAAGGAACAGACTGCTTTGCCATGTTCAATAAAGTAATGAAACATTGAATAAATCTTTCTAGTGGAATAACTACATGATACTAAACCAAATTTTTATCTTATCCTCACCCTGTACTCCAGTTTCTTTAAATGTATCTTTGTAACAACTAAACTAGCCATAAATTAGTCATGATGATATTACAGCTGAATTTAATTTTAAAGTCTCTCAGCAAGTTGTTAAGGGTTTCTTGCCTAGGTCACTCCTGAGGAAATTTGAAAACTCTGGTATGATTTATGAATATTGCTATATTGCTAGAGTATAAAAGGCTATGGGGAATACAAGCACATAAACCTCTCTTTAATTCAGCTCCAATAAAAATTTCATTTCTTATAGCAAAATAAACATGTAAATCAATGTTTAATGATTCTGTTGTTTTATTACGTAACTTATTATTTGCCGTTAAACATCCGAGCCAAGTAAAATCTGGGGCCCTGCTCATTTTTGCTGAAACATAATTAGTTAGCAATTAGATCTATTCTGTAGGGGTTGCTTTCTTCAGTGGCAGTCATAATATAACATAAGAGAAGACAGCCCAGGAACAAAAGGCCTGGCTTCTCCTTTCCCCCATGTATAAACATATTAGCCCTATTATTAGCCCATTTTTCAACATAAACATCTTTTGGTCTGAAATTTACTCAGCTGTCTAGAGGATAATTACTTCCTTAAAATTACTATACCATCAGTATTCAAGTTCAGGGATGCTCTTACCTTGAGTCTTGTTGTGCAAGCGAAATGGACATTTCAACTTCTGCTCGTCTCATCATGCAGCCTCTCCCTTATTTGGGAAATAGTCCCACTGATATTCATCTCCTTTGGGTAATGGGGCAGTAGATAGCCATTGAAGGAGAGAAATTAATAACTTTTTGTTAAAAGATGTGAAATTTTTGCCATTTTTGCCAGACTTCAAGAGATAATGATAGAGTTTCTTCCAAAATAAACTAAAATCACAAAGCTCATCACACCTCTAGACTTGTATTAATCACCTGCTGAAGTCCCAGATATGCTTTAAGAAAATGACAGTTTCCACAAGTAGTAACACGGGGGCATTTTGCAGGATCTGGCCATTTCCATCCATAAGCACCCAGGCCTGCTGGCTTTTGCAATCCCATGCCATCACAACATCCCTTGCCCTGGTGAATATGTAACTTCCCAAGCTAGTATCATTTCTAACCTATTGTAGGGACACGTACCTTAGTTTCTCTGAAATATTGCACACACTTCTTGATCACTGGGATGCAATAATGCCCAAGCTTAAACAACTTTTTTCTTGGCAATATTGTTTGACCTTAGGTGAGTCACTTAATCTTTGTTTCTGTCCCTGTTTTGCTGCCTATAAAAGCAGGATAATATTGGCTCAGCTAACCTGCTGAACAAGGTGATAGTCTACACAAATAGCTGAAGTAGGATTAATGTTTCTCAAGTACCCAATTGCTGAAAAATGCTGTCAGTCCAAAGTGTATGCTACTATAATTATGGTATACAATAAAAATCAGACAGCTAGGCAGATCTCCTTGTGCCAGCTTTTATCTCTGCTACTCAACTTTGCACGTACATGTTCAATGGAAAAAAGATTTGAAAATTAAATTGCCCTTGAAACTAGACTAGAAGCTTTCAACCAATGGCTGGGGAATGTCTATCAACATCAGTCTGGGCTATTACCAGTTTCTTCCAACTAGCTGTGTCTGATTCTGCTGCTTCATGTGCCAAAATCCTCATTTTTTACTGGTAAAGGATGAAGGAACAATTTTGAGAAAAGGGCTGTAATTGGTCAGGGTGCAGCGGGGTCTGAAGAGACCCATCAGGGTTTGACTCACAGCATCAGCCAAAGCTGCATGTCTGGGGACGGCAGAGCAGTAGATGACAGCAGTCCTGCCATCTCCACGCACCCAACGTCCCATGCAGGGCAAGGGGGTGCGGTGTCCTGCATTGCATCCTGCTCGTCCATGAACTAAAATATGTCACTACTCCATTTGGCTGGAAAGTCCAAGCAAAAGCGTGACTGCCCCATCTTTTTTTTCATCTTCAGAGAAAATATTTTTTTGAGGTTAACACTACATGCCTCATATGAAAACCTTCCACAAACCTTTGTGCAGTATATTCTGCAACGCAGTGGGAGGAGCGAGTGGCTTTTCAGTACTTGTAAGAAAACAGAAAAATGCTTTTTATTTTATGCTATAAAGTCATCAGAAAGGGCTGAAGTTTTAAAGCGAATGAGATTGCACTTATACTAAGTGCCTGTCACCTCAACTTCCCCTCCTGCTCTCTCCTGTGTCTCTTCAGCTGTAACTTCCACCTGGAAAATGCCTGGCACATTTTGGGAACAAGGAACAAGCAACAGCCTGGGTGCATTTCAGATTTCAGCCACAGCTGCTCTGAGGCATTTCTGGAAAAAAAAAAATAAAAACGTTGGGAACAAAGTGGAACTAGGGGTGAAGCATTTTATTTCCACATCTCCTCATTTTCCTAGGGAATTCCTTTGGATTTCTCAGGATCCACCCAAGCAATGTTACAGTGCAGCTGGACCATGTTACACCAACCTAACCTGTGCCCCCACTGCCCCCCAAGTTTATGCATCTTTAAGCAGAGGACAGCATACACAGCTGCTTTGACGAGCACATGGATTAATTTGATTGCATGCGACTTGGTTATGAAGGTGAAAAAAAACACGGGCTCTTAGCTTTTGGTAAAATGAACAAAAAAAGAAAAAACAAAGGAAACAACAGCCTTGAGATAAAAAGCCCTAAAATTCCAGAAAATGTCAACTCCAAGAAATGTGGTGGGTGTGAAAACCACAAATTAAGCTTTACATTCATATACAGCATCTACGTTTGTTCCAAACAATGCTCAATGGGGAGAGCTGGGAACCCCGTGAGCGCTGCCTCCCACCGCGGACATGCCTCCCATTCCTGGGGCTGGCCAGCACCCGGCCTCGCTCCACATCTCCCACCTCCACCCTTCCCACGGACCCTTCCCATGGCCATCCCTCAAAGCCACCAGCCCTTCCCCACAGCTCCAGGGAGGAGTTTTGCTTCCTCTTTGCAACCCTTGCTCCAACAGCTGGAGAACATCTCGAGGCACGGTGCAAACTGCCACCAGATCAGATCATTGGGGAAAGCTCTACCCATTGGTGTGCAGAAATTTTGGGAGAGCTGTGGAAGTCATGGCCCTGCTGCAGATCTAACTGAACACTGGGGTTGGATCATATCTATAGCCCAGAATACAGAGTACAAAGCCTTCATCCAGCACAAGGAATGAGATGGTAATTAATTCCCATTTCCTATAATGTCAGGAGAGGAGGGAAAATGTCACCTATATTTGTTAATAATTGCAAAATAACATTCATTTAAAAAAAAAAAAAAAACACAGAAAATTACTGTCCTGGTTTCAGTTAGCACAGAATTAATTTTCTTCCTAGTAGCTGGTGGAATGCTGTGTTTTGGCTTAGGATGAGAAGAGTGCTGATAACACCCCGATGCTTTAATTGTTGCAGAGCAGTGCTTATACTAAGCCAAGGACATCTCAGCCTTTTGCTCTGTCCTGCCAACGGGCAGGCTGGGGGTGCAGTAAGAGCTGGGAGGGGACAGACCCAGGACAGGTGACCCAAACTAGCCAAAGGGGTATTCCATACCATCTGACGTCATGCTAAACAATATATAGGGGTGGCTAGCCGGGGGGAGGGGGCCGGACTGCTCGGGGTTAGGCTGGGCATCGGTCAGCGAGTGGTGAGCAATTGCATTGTGCATCACTTGTTTGTACATACTATTATTACTTTCCTATTATCACCATTGTATTATTATTGTTATTATTTTATTATTATTTTGTTATTATTATTTTCCTGTCTTATTAAACTGTCTTTATCTCAACTCATGGGCTTCACTTTCCATTTCTCTCCCCCGTCCCAGAGAGGGAGGGGGGAGGGTGAGCGAACGGCTGCGTGGTGTTTAGCTGCCGGCCGGGTTAAACCACGACAATTACTCAAATTTTCAGATTGAAAAAGAAAAAAATATTTTTCAACAAAAACTTCTCCAAAGTTTGACCAACTTTTTTTTTTTTTTTTTTTTTTTTTTTTTTTTAAGCAAAAAGACTTTTTGACTAACTTTGTTCTTAAGGAACAAAGATACAAATCCTGTTTAGCATGTGCATCCTCAGCTCTGCAAGACCTCAGTACCAGCTGAAGATTTACAGAAGCTATAAAGCACAGAGTGCTTTCGTGGAAGAAAGTATTTTGAACAGGCTGTGTTTTAAATACATACAGTCAAAGCATCAGAAACTGTTTTAAAATAAAAGCTTTATAAATATTTGTTTTAATGCAATTGGCGTAAGACCTCACTGAATTAGTGAGTGGAAAAGAATATTCTTATATAAACCTACTTTTTCTATGACTTATGCTGCTTTTGGAAGTTAATCTAGATGTTGTTACATCACGCAGAGAAAGCAACTGCAAAGTAGGACTTAAAATCTTCAAACCTTTCAGGAGACATTACAAAATTCACTGTAACTGTGGTATTTGTGAAAAGTAAATGCTTGCCCACCTTCCAGACTTTCCCAGTGAGGCTGCACGGTAGGTGTGCTCAAATTTTTCAACTGAGCTTCGAGTGGTGTGAAGTAGCTACTGAATTGCTGGCACAGAGAGAGCTCATGTTGAACTAACATGAACTTCATGCAAATTTTTTGAGTTTGCCAGAGTTGCCGTTTGGGGTGAACTTGTAGTAACAGGCTTGTCGGAGAGCTGCCAAGGGAGCCTCTCTAGCAGGCTGCAAGCTGTATCTGGAGCTGCCTTGGCTTGAGTTCGCTCCAAAGCTAGGACAAGCTTGTGCAGCCCAGCTATAAACTTTTAGCTGGAGAGAAGACAGAGAGCAACCCAACAGCCACAGAGCAGCTGAGTGTCAGGGCAATCCCAGAGCAAGGCCAAACCTTCGGAGAAGCTGCAGAAGTGAAAAGTTTACTGAGACCAGACTGGGTGGAAGCCCGTTTCAGCTGTGCAGAGGAAGCAGTGGACTCAGGAGAGATGGTTGCTCATTTTACTATCCATTTGGGATGCCTATAGCTACAAAGATGTTCACACCCTGAGATGAGAAGACCCACAACCTCCACAGAGTCATGCACCTGGGCCTCAGCTCGCCTAGGATGGTATCTCCATCCATTGCAGCAGTGAGGCAAGATCTCCAGGGAGAAATATCAACTTTAACACACCCCAGGAAAAAATGAACCAAAAGCCCAGCTGGTCAAGCCTCACCAGCTGCACATCTGGGTCCAACAAAGCACACCACAGCCCCCAAATTTTGTCTCAGAAAAGACAATATTGTAGCTCATCTCATTTTCCAGCTCTCCCAAGAAAAGAAACTGTTGTTGTTCCCTTAAGACATCTCTTTCCTGTTCACTGTCAGGAAGATTTACCTGATACTTTGCCAAAAATCAGATAACAAATGGCCCATGAAGTAAATAATACAACCAGGCCAGAAAGAAAAGAGGAAATGTCTAAAAGAAGAAAAGGGACAAATGAGTCCCTTTTGAGCTGCAAAGAATGCACCGAGTTTGTGTCTGGTACATTTTGCTTCATTTCCAGTAATTCACGCCCTGCAAGATTTCTAGAAACAAATAGATCAAGCATTTACCAAAAAACCCACACTAGCTGAGCCACTGCAGCCAATGAAAAAGTGGATCCAAGCAAGCAGACAGAAAAACACAAGATTTCTAACAGTTTTGACAGCCAAAACTGATTGTCACTGGGCCAACGCAAAGAATTTTCCCACTTCTGATTTTGAATGACAAGAGCAAACAGGATCATTTCTTCTGTCCCTGAACTCTCTGTCAGTAGGATTCCTCCCCCCACTGCAAACCTCAGCCAGCACCTTGGGTCAAGCTCTGTATTTCCTTTTAGGAGCTGAGCAGTGCTTAGTGCATGGCTGGAACTAACCAAGCATCCAAAGGCAAGCCAGATGAAGTTGTGAAAGTAGCAAACCTCTCAGCATCTCACTATGACGTCCCCCAGCAAGGAGATTTTTAGGTGCTCCAGGAGAGACAGAACATATACTGCTGGCAGAGACCAGGCAGCCCAGGTATGATGTTGGAGAGAACTTGGGAGGAGCTCTGAAACAGAAAATCTAGTCAGAGTGAGAGTGGGAAAGACAATAGGGAGACAAAAAGAAAACGAAGAGTGGGTGAGAATTAAAAAAAAAAAAAAGCTGCATAAAATGAATATATAAATGATAATAACAAAATAATGCTCATTCACAGCATCGTTATGAACAAGCAGTAGCTGCTTATGAGCAAAGTCTTCCCAGGACCATTTCCCACATCTACCTTTTCCATTAAGGCAGAGTAATTGTCTGTGGAGCACACGCTGTTCATGTGCATATGCCCAGCGACTGTGAAAATCAAAACTGTGTCTGTTACACAAATATTAGGAAATGACTCTCTAGATAAGCTGTGCATGTATTCGCAAGTAAAATATGCGGCCATACCAGTTTGTGCACACAAAACACACAATTTGTACGTGCAAATAGGAGCTCCAGGCAGGTTAATACTTTACAGGAGACCAAACTCTGAACCAGCAACACAAATCCATAGGAACAGTCACTACGGCCACATCACCAAATAACAGCATAACAACCACCGCGAAAAAGCCACATTTAATTTCTATTTGAGCTGGTTTCACAAACCTTCCTCGATTCTCTCATCCGTGAGTAGATCTCAGATAAGAACTCTCTTATCCTGACCATCAAATGCATAGCATGGGAAGCTCAGGTTTTATTAAGCCCTATAAACTATCACATTTCTACCCCCTTCTGACAGAAGTCACTTAGAAAGTTAAAAACTGTATCAGTAGCAGAGAGTTATTTCCCTAATGAGGTTTTCATGTAATTGGCACTTTCTTGTGATTTTGGTGTAAAGAAAAAGACTCAGTTTCTCACATATATATGCAAACTTTGGGTCATAAATGCCAGCTGATTACTCGTGGTATTCTTCTACAGCACAAGCTGACAGTAAATAATAGCAAGCTTTCTAGTTGTTGTGAACAGACATTACAGCTTATTAAATCAGTCCACTGTTAGCTCAGCAATTCTCTGTTTCTATACAGTGATTTTTTCTGATTAACAATGTCCATATCAGTCTCCTGGGCATGGTTCGTACCAAGAAGACATGCTAGAAAATTACATTTGGCCTCTGCTTTTCCATCTCTTCTCAGGTTTTGTTTTCTCTTAAGTTTAAGAAGTTTTTGATTAAAGAAATTATTTCCGTTCTTTGGGAGGTTGAATCAAAAGTCACTAAAATCTCCGAAAGTCCTTTAATTAATGTACTGGGGCTTTACATTAGACTTTCAATTAGAAACAGTAAGTACACGAGTATAAAGAAACAAAAGTTAAGGGGCGGGTGGGCAGGAGGTGGAAGTGTTTCATGAACATTTACAAACCTCTAAGGTTTCATTTGGCTTTATGTTAACTTTGGGTCAAAGGTTTGGGTCAGCTTTTATTCTCCTTGGTCCCCATTCACCCTGATCTTCTTTTCCAGAGCGTGAATCCTGACAGATGCCCTGTGAAGAGAGAAAAATCAGTCTGAAAAGCTGGACTCAAGCTAAATGACAGGGCACCTATTTTGCAGTTTGTTTTCATGCTGCAGCGCCTGCAATTCCCTCAGCCAAATCAGCACTGTGTTTGAGTGTATCCTGCTGATATTTTAGCAAAATAGTAATAAGAGTCCAGTATGACAATTAGTGCTGCTGCTTGACATCTCCTGCACTACCTACCTCAATGGTGAAAAATGGCAAAGCTGAGCCTTAGGATGGTGCCACTGCCAAGACAAGACAGCTGTGGTTGCCATCATAAAACTACTCAGGGACAGTATTTTGCAGAGCAGAGGTGAAAGGGAAAGCCTGCCCCAGGGAAATGGATGGTTTGTCCTCCAAAAGTGGCTCCAGGGTGGCCCAGCCACCATCCCACCAGCCTTGGCTTCACGGTGACAGGATGGGGCTGAGGCAGTGAGAAATGGGCTTTGGCATTCAGGACTAAGTGATACAAATGATGCGAGTCTGTAAGGAGAGATAGTATCTTCACATTAATTTGTTATTATTATTATTATTTAATTTTCGGTTGATATAGTGGGGAAATCAGAGCAGCTTCTGGCATGTCTTCTAGCTAACTTCAAAGGTACATACAAGGGGAAAACAGTTACTGAATTTAACTAAATTATGCTAATCAATTGGACAATTTGAGGGAAAATAAAAAGGTATCAGGAACCTGGGAGGAAAGAAGGATGTTTGCAAGCAGAGATGATGAAGCGTGTAGCCTGGGGGCACAGCAGGAGGAACAGGTGTCACTCAGCCCTCAAGCAGGAACTGCACGAACAACTCATCTCCCTTCTGCTTCATCCCCAGCTCCCTGCCTCTGCCTTATGCCCCCATCCATCCCTGCCTCAGCAGCACCAGCAGGGCCTTTGCAGGTCTCTCTAACCCTGGCTGAGAGCTGGATTAACACCAAGCACCTTCTGCACCACTTTATGCAAGCCTTCCACATGGGGCAGGCGTGTTACTCACACTTTGGCTCGATGGAGACTTCCCTCTTGCCACAGGACAAGCCAGCTGGGCGCTTGGCAGGATGAGCGCAGTCCCACAGCCTCGACTCAGAGGCGTTCCCACTTTGGCATAGGGTCGGGAACGTGGCCACAGAAGAACAGAGACCAAAGCAGGTTCCCGACCTCCTTCAGGCAGCAGGGAGCACAGGGGAGCAGGTCACAACCATGCAACCTGCACGGGCAGGGCGCTGAGCAGCGAACGGGCTTGTTCCTCCCAGTCAACTTTTCCACTCTTCCAGCTTTAACCTTTCCTCCCTCTTTTTCTCCATTCTTGACACGCAGACCCAGAGGATTTTTTTTTTCCCTCTTCCATTTCTGTCAATAACACACTGTGTTTATGCGAAACAACATTACTCGCCATGGTTTTGAAATCAGCTCGGGGCATAATCGCTGTCTCGTGACACCTATTTTGGAGGCTGCATTTAGGAAACTTTTTCATCCATGAATATTTGAAGATTACTATATTCAAGTCACTTTCAAACATGAAATGCTTTTGCATCTCAGAGGAATTACACTGTAGTACTATAATCCTTTATATTAATCATTTCCTTTTCTGATTTAAATTCAAACTATGGATTTATACTTTTACTTCTCATCGATAAACAGCACTTTTCACATTAGCATGCCCTCAATGATGTTGACAGTGAACAACAGAAAGTAGCTGTACCTTTTATGTCAGGACTTGAAAAAATATTTCCCAGGTGTTCTTTCCACTTTTATATCATTTTTAAACTCTCAATATTCTCTAAAGTTTCACCTTCTACAGAACCTTCTAAATTTTTCAGGACTTACCCTTTTCAGACACCCAAGTGATGTCCTTGTGGAGTTGATGACGACTCCATGGGTCAAGGCAGCCCCAAACACCTGGCAACTTTTTCTCCCTTAAGACTATTTATACGAGAATTATGAAGCCCTAATTCAAACAGAGGGACTGGATGCATTTCACCGCACACATAAAAGTAGCTCCATTGTAACTAACTAGTAAGATGAGATAATTTAAAGCAAATATTTCCTTTGTCCCATACAAATAATAATATATTCAGTGTTCATGTTCAAGTGGCTAAACAACAAAAATAAATATATATTTTTTTCCATAATAAAAAGTTATGTTCTTAGAGTAAACAGCAACAAACCAGGCTGCTGGAAATTTGCTTGCTGGCAAAGGGTGCAGTGGAGCTGTTGGGGAGTTTTAGCCATGAGTCAGGAATACATGGGGCAACCTGGGGAACTCTGGAAAAATTAAAAGTTCTCCTGAGAAGAATGCATGTTATTGCTACTGATTGACTCCAAACAAGAAAAACTGCAACAATTTTACCAAACATGTTCTCTTGGACCCCATTGATGCTTGGGAAGGTGCATTTCCCTTGTTGCTGCCACATTCACCCCCATGATGTGTTGAACCCAAGAGGTTTGTCTGCGTTGTGGTGCTAGATTGCTCCTTATACCCGCTCTGAAAGCAAAAACTGGCACTGCAGCAAACTGCAAGACAGCTTAAGGCCCATTTTCACAGCTCTAATGAGATATTTTCCCATCAGTGAAAATCAGGGAAGGAGGATTCAACTCTTCCTTTGTCTGAGAATCAATTCTTTTACATCCCATAGGCACAGTTGCTCAGGGTACACTCAGAAGACCCTAGTATGTTCTCAGCTCAGTTCCTGAGCATGCTTACCTTTAAAAACATGAACTGCTTTTGGTGCCATTTGTGCCTGATTTTTAAAAAGATTTTTTTTCCAATTATTTTTTTCCCCAATTAAATAAGCACATACCTGTATGTATTCCCACACTTCCTCGGAGTTTTGGGGGAATCACAGGTAAATGGCTCTTGATGAAACACAAGCACCGTGTACGGGTGCAGGATTTCAGAGCCAGCTTTCCGGGATTAGATGTCCCTGGCTAACCTCAGCTGTTCGGCATTATTTTGGAACTTGGCCCTGGCAGGTGAGGGGGAACCACCAGGAGGAGAACAAAAGGGTTTCTCTCCCTTCTGCCCTTGCCTCCTCCCTTCTCGGCCTTGGGCAAATGTGGTTTTAATTCAGAAATACAAATGTCTTCTCCAAGTTACACCAGGGAAGAAGTAGGGGGAAAGGACAGCTGAAAAAAAATCAATTGGATTATAATTTATCAGGCTTTTTTTACTGTGAAATTGAGCTGGAAAGTCTTAACATCTGCAGAGATGAGCAAGTGGGTGAGCTGGAGAAGGGCTGGGGGTGCTGGAGCTCACCAGCAACGTAAAGTACTTCTCTGCTACTCTAAACCAGCCTCTAATTTTTGGTTTTCTTTCTTTTTCTTTCTTTTTTTTTTTTTTTTTTCTGATATAAAGAAACCTGTGATCCAACGTAGCCAGGAGTCTAGGGACTGAACTTGGTGTGCTTTGAACAAAGGGTGGCACTGAAAGCTGCTTGTGACTGTTAAGTGGTTAAGAGCCATTTTTTTCCCCTACGTTATCCCCCACCTTGTGCTTTTGGAAATCTCCAGGCTGGGAGCTATTTTTGTTTCCTGCAGGTTATGACAGCCACAAAGCCAAGGCTGCGTACGTGCTACAGCTCTGACAGCAGACGTGAATAACAGAAAAACGCTCCGAACACAAGAAGCCACTCGGCGCGCTCGCTGTACTTTCCTAATGTATGTGACATTGACATAATGCGCCCCGAGGCGTCTTGGATCAGACAGCGTTTTCCTGTTCCACGTGCTGGTTTTATGAACAGCAATCAAGTTGTGAAACACATGTAGGCAGCGTGTGTGGCAGGCGGCCTCCTGTCCCACGCACCAGCAGGACGCAGAGCCACAGTGAAGGCACTGATCCTGGCCTGAGCCCTTTTGGCCATCACAGGACATGGCTTTGGGTCCCCAGCAGGGCTTGTGGTGGGGCTACTGGGATGCTGCTGCAGGGTGATGGTGTTACCGTGTCATTTTATCTGTCTGTGCAACACAGCAGCTAAAAACTGATTTGTGATGCACAGATGCACAACCATGTACGTTGTGGTAGGGCCGACCCGTGAGTTGGGTTTGTTCCTCATCACTATGCAAAATTTTAAACTTATTTCCCAAGCACACAGGTTGGACAGGAGCATCGCAGCTCGGCAGAGACCAGCACAAGCCTCTCTTTCCTAGGCTGTGAGGCAGCATCCCATCAGTCTGCCCCAGGTCTGTGGTAGTGAATCACCAGCACAGACAACCACGTCTCTCCCTCCACACCCCCGTCGTTCAAGAGGAAACATCAATTTCTATATGGACAGGAAGCAGGACTAATCCCTTTGTGATTTCCTCCCCTAACCCCATTTCCCTGACACCCCATTCCAGCTTTCATCCTCCTATCTGGGCTATTTAGTCTAGAGCAGGGAAGGCGGAGAGGAGACATAATAACAGTCTTCAATTATGTAAAAGGCTTCTGCAAAGAGGGAGGCAATAAATTGTGGTCCACATCCACGGGGAAAGCACAAAATGTAATGGGCTCAAACGCAACAGGGGAGACTTAAGTTCAGCACTATAAAAACTTCCCTGCTGCAAGGATCATTGGGCACTAGAGATCACTTGGGGAGGCTGGGGGCTCGCTGCTGCTGGCAGGGTTAGAGAAACACGTTAAACAAACAAGTGTCAGGAATGGTTTGTGTAGGGTCAGATGAGATGATCTCCTCGGGTCTCTTGCAGCCCTGTTTCTTTCGTGCTGCACTGATAACAGTCCCAGCTTTGTTCCATGGAGGTTGTCCACAGCAGAGCCACAGAGATATCCATCACACAGGGAGGAGCAAGTGCCCCACCATGGCCTGCAGCTGGCATGCCTGTGTGTCAGGCTCCTTCCCTCATAGTCTCCTATGCCATAGTCTACTGGTAGAGCCTGGTCTTGCACAGCCCTTCCAAGAAGCAGCATCCTCCAAGATGCTCTCCTCTGATAGGCACTTCTTGCCAAATCAAGCTAAAACCAGGACCGATCACATGTTTACTCAAGGATATCCTTAAGTGCTTTGCTGGACTGGGGCCTTATCCAGCTACATTTCAGGCTCTGGAAGGTCAGTAGGGATTGATTAACCTCTCTGCATGACCTGGGGGCTGGACGTCTACATCTGTCAAAATGGAGACATTTTACTGAAGATAATTCTTCTCTGTTTCAGATATCTTAGGCGGTAAAGCTGGCCAGTAACACCAAAATCAGAGAACAGCCACTACTTTCTAATCAGCAAAAAAGATGCAGATGAATCTTAACAGATTTAATTTATATCATTACTGCTGATGAAGTTGGTAACCTTTAGCAAGGAGACATGGATCAATAGCTATTAGAGAAGCAGCAGCTGCAGATATCTAAATGGGCATGGACTAGGAAGTGAGGTGTAAAAGGTAATAGCAGAATATTTAAACCAGATGAAAGCTATAAGGTAGGTTAGTGACCTTGAAAGAACCAGATAAGTAAAAAAGTAGAGAAGGGCAACAATGATTTATATACTTGCCCTGCACAAATATTACAATGCTTATTGAAGGGTGTAGTAAATTACGAACAAAGTAGAGATTTATTAGATTAATGGCAAGGGAATTTATACAGGAAGGTTTGCTTCTTTGGAAAGTAGGTAAGAGAAACAAGTTTTATATTAACTCTTTTGTTTCTAGGCTTGAACATATTTTTTTAAATATATATATATATATATATATATATTTTTTTTTTTTTTTGCCGTGGAGTAACCTGATTTTTACTTGATCACTGCAGATCTGTTTCCAGATCCTTTTGACACTGATAAAGCTCAATGCATGGAAAAAGCAATGGACACCAGGAAAGGGTACCCATAGAGGTGGAGGTACTAAGTGATAAAATCTGGTAGCTCACCAAAGACTTGTTTCTGCCACTGTGGAAACGAGGGAGTTTGGGGTTATTCAGGAGGTTCACTTTAACTCCCAAACCTTTATCATGATCACTCTGGTGATGTCCAGACCCACCTTGGTCTCAGATCTCACAGTGCTGGTATCTAAAACAGATAACAGAAGACAACCACTTCATATAAGTTTTAAATCTAACAAGGCAGGGCAAAGCTTGGTAGGAGAGCAAAGGGCCACAGCAAGGTCACACCAAAATGGGCAGGGTCCCTGAATCTCATTTCTCCCTCTGATGCCACATCTAGGGAGAAGTGAATGAAACCTGTGTGTACAAAAACAAACTTTTTGAATTGGCTTAAGTAATTCTATTAAGGAAAAATAAAAAGAAGAATTAAAGTGCACTCTAGAGAGTTTTTAATATACACAGTTCTGTATGTAAAACACATAATTAATCTCAGCCTCTTTATATCAGTGGAAAATACAAACCGTCCAGCACTCATAGTTGCATATAGAAACATATTTATAATTACACTAAGTCCCCACATTGACTTTCACAACTTCTTTGACCACTGTCATCTAGAAAACAGCTAACTCTACAAGGAGAGCACCGGGGCACAGTCTGACCCCGTTAATCAGGGCACGGTCAGCTGCATTACGGGGACACACACCCCAGCCTGCTGAGCATTAGGGGCCATGATTGCCTTTTGCTGCAGGAGTGACTGGCGATGCCCTCCTCCAGCCCTGAGACTGCATTTAGTGAAATCGGTGGCCAAATCCTTACTGTTGTCATCGGGGTCAGGCCTGAGGAGCTGGCACTACACAGTGTGCTGCTCATTATTCTCACCTCACCATGTACAGGTGACCCAAAAACCTGATCCACAGCCCAGCGAGCCCCTTTTGGGCTTCACTATGCTTTGGATCAAGCCCCAGGAGAACAATTAGAATCAACGAGCTCAAATAAAAATGAATTATTGCGAGCATATTTCTAATCATTTTTATTTGTTCCTCTTTGCTCCCTGTAAGAGCCCTCACCCAGGTGTGATGCAGCCAAAGGAAATCTTAGCTAAAAGAGGATTGTGGGTTAATATTCATACTCAAAAGATCTGCTAACAGGGGAAAAATACGATAGCTAAGAAAAAAATATTCAACAGCAACACCACCTGCAGAGAACTATTTTTTCAGGTAGGATGGTGCAGATACAGCTATTATGGAAACATGAACCTTCAGCTCCTTTACATAATTCTGTTTTTCCTTCCTTGACTTGAAAAAGTGGAATATGCTAATAATCCACTCTAATTCATCTCCCCTGAAGTTTTGTTTGAGCAAACTAACTCATTCTACTTGAACTCCATAATTCCTATGTAATTATTTTCAGTTATGTTCTCTTTAAGTCTCCACAGGCTTCTAATGAATTTAAGAAAACGTATGGTCTCTTGGAATTACCTGCTGTAGTTTCCCTACTGGTGTAAGCTTGAATTTAGGTGGTGGCTAAGCTCATTTTCAAAAATCATTATTAAAACTTCTCTGCAGTCCATGGTTGTGATATGGACAAGAAGTTTTCCCCCATGCACTCCCATGTCTCATCCTAAACCATTCTGGGCTCTAGTATGTAAAGACTGGAGTATTTCAACTCTTTATTATTTTATTTTTTCCTGAAAGAAGGAATGGATAAATATATATTTATTGGAACCCAGCAGCCACAGTTACTCCTTAAAACCATGCCCTATGATGTGCATGTGCAGGGAAGGTGATCCCATGGGATGTGGGTTGGAGAACCTGAATTAATCTGGGGAACTGAAAGCTAGGATGGAGCCCACTACTTCCATTCAGCAGTGACACTGCCTGAAAATGTGCTCTTTTGCCATGAGAAAAGGCAAAAACAGAGGCACGAGAAAAAGGAGGACAACTCCTTTCACCCCACGCTCCCTCCTTCCCCTGCTGCACCTCCATGAGAAATGGAAAGTCCCTCACACCTGCAAGGTCTGCCAGTGGCCTCATTTCCTCTCTCCTCCACATCCTCCCACAGAAATGGCTCTATCTGTTCCACAGAAGTAACTCAACAAACTTTTCAATGAAATATTTCAAGATCATCTGTATATGAAAGCCAGGGATTTGTTTTCCTAAGGAATTTGCATTTTCTGAACATTGTAGTAAACTATTTTTAAAGGAAATTTGTAATTCTTTGGGAAATCTATGCCCTTACAATCTCATCTTCCCTGCAAGCAAGCCACATGCAGATGTATTTATTGGAAGTTCAACGTTTGTATTTATTTTCTGACTTAAACAGTAATTAAAACAAAACAAAACATCTCAAATGTTAAGATAAACTAAAACATTTTGGTCTGATGGTGCAAAAAGTGTCATGATTGCAAAACAGTGAAATACTCACCCAAATAAGAAATTATAAAACATTGATATAAACTATAATTTGATATAAATTATAAAACACTGATATAAAAAAAAAGTAATTTGAACTCATCACAATGAAATACAATAGTCAATACCACCTTAACATGAAACATTAAAAATGTCAAAGTAACACCTGTCTGTGAAATGCTTGATTGTTATGAAATTGTTTCCTACAGAAAATGGTCCCACAGAACTTTTTAACTCTATTTAATCAGTGCAGAAATCAAAGAAGAAGATTCTCATTTCCTTTTCTAAATGAAAAATGTCCATTTCATGAGGGAAAGGTCAGCTGTTCAACAGAGTGCTGGTGCACTTTAAAAAGCTTGAAATCTGCACCTGGACTTCCTCACATCCTCAATATTCCCCTCCCTCAGCCCGGCTGGGAATTGCTGTTTAATACCACATTTCTTGTTCTTTGTACCTCCATTACTCTGCTAGCTGCATCTTTCTTAAAAAAATATTATTCCTGTAGCATTTGTTGCATTATATATAATAAATACTGCTTTATGTCACAATCCCAGCTAGACAGCTATAGTTGCATTAAATATATACTGTGACAAGTCTAATTAATAGCCATCCAGCCACATTACAAATAACCTCAAAGTCAGTCCAATGAACATTGCAATAAATTCAGGTTTGCCTGAACATCTGTATAAATACCAGTAATAAGACAGACCAGAAAGGCCAACTGGACTAAATAAGTTTGATTTTGGAAAAAATCTATAAGCAATAATACTTCATTCTCCTTAGTGGGGAGAAGTATTCAGCAAAGAATATAACATGAGCAAAGGGAGAGGTTCCTGAACATACTGCAGTTTATTTAGATGAGAAAAATGAGGTATGCAAAGCAGGACGTGTTTAACTAAATATCTATGGAAGTTGCACAATCTTTGCATGCGTTAGAAGAGGAATCACTTTGTCTATTAACAAGCTCCTATTGCCAACAACATTACCAGTAGCTGCAAACATCTACTGAATGAGGCAGACAGATACATTTTTTTTTTTTTCCTGGGTGGGAACTGCAGCCCAGTATTGTCTGCCAAATCTTTTGGAAAATATTCCAAGTATTTGGCTGACTATTCACTAGCCTTATCAATACCGCCACATCAGCACTTCTTCACCTACCAACCACTTTTTACTGCTTTAGACTGACAGAAACCAAGAGCACTTCATGCAGCCCCAGCAGGAAGAGGAGGACTGTCCCCACCTTGCATGCTGTGACTGCTGAGCCTCAACAAGTGCCATCTGCACCCTGCTATGTAGCTTAAGGAGGTAGGTTGTTCGTCTGTGTTTTACCACATAGAAAACATTTTGCATTCCCACTGCTCAGGTTTAGACAGCTTTAAGATCCTCCCTGGATTTGCTTTCCCATTAACAAAAAGGCCATTCCCCGTGAGCTGTAATGACAATACTCAACACAGTTCTGTGTTTATTCTCCTCTGCTTAGATTAGATTCTTTTAGTTTTAGATTTGTTTTGGTTTGTTTAGGAAAAAAATATATTCTGTTCATAGGAAGCTTTTAGTATCACTCCTGGTTCCCTAACTGTCTCCTCCTGGAGCCCTGGGATCAGGAAATAATGCTACCAGTTTCCCCCCATGTCAGTCCACTCAGAAAAAAGACAAGTTACACAATAGCTCTACTGTTGCACAAAGCATGTTCATAAGCATCTGCATAATCCAACATTTTCCACAGGGTGAGACTAATGGGTCATGTAGTCCACATCAGTTCTGGTAAAGACTGTAGGGGCACGGTTAAAATATGAGAAACAGGAAATACTTCTTCCCCATTCACCGTCACCCATCATTGATTCACACTGAATCAATATCAATCTGTATTCAAAATCAATCTGTATTCAATAGGAACCGAAATAGGATCAAAATCAATCTGTATTCAATAGGAACCGAAACCTTGGGCAGAGCACTGCTAATGGGAAAACAGCAACTTTCCAGGAGCCCATAGACCATGGCAGTAGAATGAACCATACATGCTTACGTGGAGAGCACAATAACACAATTACCTTGAGAGAACACAATTACCTTGTGTTCTGTTCCTTGGGACAGCACTACACAGTGAGTTTGAAATCCTCATCAGCTGTGTCATTTGAGCTTCCCAGGAGGTGACATATCTGCAAGAGAAGAGACCAAAGCTGTTTGCCCTGATAGGTAATTCCACTGTTCCTTCCTTCTCTCTGTGGCTGCCCAGCCTCAGACTGCCCCACACATCTCTCCATGGGATGCAACATTTGCTTGTATTTGACAATGTCTTTCTCCTCTGTGTGTGTCTGGGCATGGAAGGAGCAGCCTTGGACCTCCTCAGGTTTTACATGGTGGCATCAAAATCAACAGAGCACTGAAGGGTTCTCAGTAAAACATGGGACCAGCAGATTTTAGGCAGAAAAACTGGGGACAGAAGACCATTTTTTTCCCACTGATTGCTTTATAGCAATGTCTTATTAAAAGTTAAGTATAGATATAGGGAAGTACAAACCTCAATTAATAAGTCAGAGCCTGCATGTATCTAATTATATTTATACACCCTATTGGCCCTAACTTAAAAATTTTAGTCCTAGTACCAATACTCAAGTTTGCCTGGAAAGCCTCAAAGCAATGATCACCAGTGAAGTTACTTGTCAGGCTCTCAGGCTCAAACAGTCCAGGTTGTTCTGTCTGTTATCAGAGTTTATTTTTTGGACATTTAGACTCCAGAGGCTTCCTGCTGCAGAGCAGTAAGGCAACAAGGAGGATCCACTGATTTGTGGCAAAACACTTCAAGATGGGGAACCTTCTCAGTGATTTCACTGTCTGTCTGTCACCACGTGACATGTTGCAAAGGTTAATTTGTTTTGAAATTCCCATTTTTAATTTGCATTACTGATCAATCTAGCAATTATAAATGTTAATCTATTCTTCAGTGGACTAAAATTCAGATATTGAGACTGCTGCAATAAATAAGAATTCCATCACTTGCTGTTATTTATTAAGAATTGAGCAATACTGAGAACCCACTGAGTCAGAACAGTGAAATAAGCATGCTTTCAAAACACACCCTTAATTAGTTTCAAAGCAGGATGGACCAATTTATATCACTTTGATTTAAATCAGTTTAGTTCATTGTGATTTAAATCAGAACCAAGAAATCTGAATTCAGATAAGTTCAATTTGTACTGCATTTGTGCCTTTTAACAGATATTCAGAAGAAAAAGTTATTCTCAAAGATTCACAATGAACAGAAATGCTTAATTGCAAACAAGGGTAGCTTTGATATTATAGTTAATGCTTGTTTTTGTTAACTAAGAGAACACATTAAGACTATATGTACATCAATATGTACATCTGCATTTATTTTCTCTTGGTTTTTACATTTGTTTTAGGAGAAAATAGGACATGACATTTTTAGTCATCCAATTACCTTTTTAAAGTGCTTTGTGTCATGCTGCTTCTAAACAGAAGTATACAGAGAACTCTTTAAAAAGACCTAAATTGTGTCATGAACATTTTAGGAAATATTATTTAAAAAAATAATTACATTTCAAGGTAATTGATGTACCTAAGAGTAGAAATAGCATCAGCAATTAACCATCTGAGCTATTTTTTTTTACGTGTTTCCATGTTCTCTAAGATCAGAATTGATCGATCTCAGACTCCCACACACTCATTTTACTCATAAGATGGAAGAGGGTAAACAAATTTTCCTGTTTTTTCAACTGCTAGTTGTTTTCACAACTTGCAATATTCTAGTCATTACCTGATGGAAAAAGAATAAAATAAAAAGAAAATGTTCCTTTTGCACCTGCAAAAGAGGCTACATCTGTCAAAAGCTAGTTTATTACTCAAGAAGCTCCAATTCCAGGTGTCTAGCTAGTAATTTCCCCAGTTTAGTGATTTGACATTCTTCAGAATTTTGGCAGTGAGTATACACTCTCAAAGGTTATTTTTATGGAAGGGTTTATTAACATGAAAAAAATAATTTTATTTTAGTCGTTTATAATGAGTTTAGGCTGCCATCATTCCAGAATACGTCTTAAATTTTAATTTTAAGAAGAGAAGTATATTAATTTAAAAATTAAATGATGAAATGATGCATGTTGTAAAAATACACAAAGGTCATCACTAAAGAGCAACTGACAGAAGGACAAGAACCAGAATGGATTAATTCACATCTGTTTTAGAAGGAAACCCCACAGAAACACTCCGGATTCCAATTTAGATTTATTTATTTTGTCCAGAGGATTTCCCTCCACCCTCAGATGAGAAATGAGCCCATCATGATCTGAGGCATCATTTCCTTCATCAGAAAGGCTTGCTGCTCTACAAACATAGAGCACAGACTCATCCTACATTGACTTTTTTTAATTGCTTCACATCCCACAGTATCTTTTTCAGCCTTGAGGATGCCAGCAGGAGGTTTGGTCCTTAGCCCTGGAAAAGGACAAGTTCCCCAGGAGAGTAAGAATTTGAAACCATTTTAATTCAATAAACTAGTTTTTACCCAGTTTTGAGCAGAGGAATATGCATGTCAGAGCTGAAGAACGCTAGGACCAGGGAGGAACAGACCTGCGATGGAGCAGGACACCAAACATCCAGCTAATATTTCTATAAGGCCCTGGAGAAGTACTTCCCAAACAAGCAAAAACTTGAATAAAAAAATAAATAAACTTGCTAAATAAATAGAAAGCTTTACAAAAGGGTAAAACATTTATGTAGAATAAAATATTTGCTTATTCCATCCTCCAGAACAGACACAGACTAAAACATTGTACTCCAAAAGTGGTAATTGAAGAGCTGTCACCACACTGCAGCTAAAGACATACACCTATGCCTTCCCCTCAGCAACATCTTCTTTTCAGATGAAAACCACCACAGTTTACAGCCCATCTCTGCAAGTCTCAGGCTACCCAGAAATGACAACTTAAATGTGCAGATTGGACAGAAAGTGATCAGCAAATATCTATCAATATATTTGATATATATCTATCAAATATCTATCAAATGTCTTTGGTGAGATGTAACGTAAAGGGTTCATACAAGACCAATGAAATACTTTAAAACCTTAGAGAGTAGCTACAGGTGTTATGTCTGCTAAGTTATCAGGTCTGCAAAGCTTGCATAGGGGAATCATTGAACAATTTTGCAAAGGAGGCTCTTGATACACAGATGTAATTTCTAATGTTTTAGGAAACATAGGAAATTCCAGCAACCATTGAATCAAGTCTGAATGCCTTTCTGAAAGATGTGCATTAGTCAAATATAAACCATTCAGTAAATATATGGAAAAAGTAATGCCCTGGAAGAAATAAACAAGTGATATATACCGCATCAGACTAAACAAGCTAGCTGTTCTTTCTTGGCCATGCACTACCTTTTAAAACATTGGAAAATGATCATAAAGAAAAGTTTGAAAAATAAAATAAAATGGAAATAAATGGTTTGTTTTTCCTACCACTCATATCCTCTGACTGTGCACTGAACCAGTGCACAGCAGCCTAGAGCCTGACATACCATCTTGCTTTAATCTCTTCCTGTTGACAATGAAAAATGTTATACAAATGTTATACAGAAGATATACAATATCTGGTCATCAGGAAATCACCTCCCCTGTATGAGGATTCTTCGTCTGTGCAAAGCTAAAGCCAAGGAAAAGAGCCTGCCCTGTCCCAGGCAGCACACACTGAGCCAGGCAGGGATGCCCTAAAGAACCACTGTGCTCCTGGATCCTCACGTTTGCAACAAGCTTGGCATGCTCCAAAACAGCCAGTGCTCAACTGACAGCGAACGAGGTATGTCTCATTCCCACCTGAACCTGAACTCAGGTCAGCTCTCCTGATGACTGTGTTGTTAAAAATCAGCTGGGTGTAGGAGCTAATCAAGATGCCTATGCTAGTTGGATGCTTCACCTCCTGCGTGGGGAGGGAAAATGAAGAGAGGAAAAACTAGCTGACAACAAGAAAATTGAGAAGTGGTAACTCATACAGAACTGGCCCAGAAATAACCAGATTCCAAACTCCTTTATTTGTTCCTGGACTGGGTCCATTCTGACCAGATAAACTCCTCCTCAGTACAATACACAGCTTTGGACATTGCTGTAATGAAGTGATGGGTCACACTGGTGCTATTGCATGCAGGATCTATGAGAAGACATCGCCTGAAATTGGGGAATGGAGGGGGCAGATTTCAGTTGGGCTATGAAAACAATTTTGTAAGGCAAGTTTAAACGTGTGGGATGAAATCAATCACGTTAAGGTGCTCTGCATGGGTGTAGCTCTGCTCACCTGAGAAGGATTCCAGCATACCTCAGTACAGAATCTGATCAGTTAGGAATTAATCCATAGAGCAGGTACATCTATTAACAGAAGCAGGCACACCTCCTACAGGTAATTCAGCATATTTCCTCTCCGTCCCTGAAAAGAAAATGTTCAGTGCAGACACAAAAGCTGCCTACCCTGTCGATCACCTCTCCTCTCCCTGCTTGTCATGTTACTCACATTCTTCATTCAGCAACAGATGTGCATAGCTGGTCAAATACTCAAAGATGTTTGTCAAAGTTTTCCTAAGGCTTTTCATCTCCCTGCTTTCCTGTGCCCAAATATAAGTCACCTCTGCTGGCTTTTGAAGCAGATTAATTCAGAGCACAGCTACAGAACTGGCAGGTAATCTGTTAGCTGGAGCTTGAAGCGGAGGATTTTTCCCTAACAAGAACAGCTAAAGGGTGGGAAAGGTATTTCTGAATTAGCACATTTTAATCCAGGTAATATATTTCCTAGAGACATACCCCTCTATTGCAAATTCATGGGAAATTCTTTTATTGGATGTGATCTGAAAAGCCACAGGAGGTGGAGGAAAGCTAATCAAAACAGAGCGTATCTCAAAAGCACAAGGGGACAGTGAATTGTAGCCTTGAGTTTTTGGGCCCTGAAGCACACTGCACCTCAATATTCCATGGGGAAAGAGGGAAGAAAGCTTTTACTAACATCACTCCTGCTCATCCCTAGCCTTAAGCAACTGGATAAAAAGGGTTTTGGTGGCCCAATCACCCAACTTTTGCTGCACAATGAAATGGGAAGTGGATTATATCCACAATATCTTGGAGTTTTCTGTAAAGATGAACTCCACAAAATTTTTTAACACGAATCTCTCTCAATTATTATTTTTGTTTAATTTGAGCTGTCTCCTAGGAAACAGTCCACCTCTGTCAGCATAAAGGAGTAGGATGCCACATGTGGACAGGAACTCCTGATAACCTCCACCCCCAAAATGCTCATCCTGAAACAGAGGAGAGAAGGAAGCATGGGACCTCATTGCTGCTGGCAGTCAGTGGGACCCTGGCTCCTATTTTTGTTTCAAGAATCTTCATACTAAATTTATGCCCAAATTATGTCATATAACATCAGGCCAAGTAGATGCATGGGTTGTGAAGTGAGGTCAGGGCTTAATTTCACACATCGTGGCCCCAAGTCCCAAAACAATTTAAGGATGTGAAAAGCTTTCTTACCTCAATGAATGGGAACATTCATGTGCATGAATTCAGACAGGTAAGATCAGGATCTAACTGTACAGAAGCAAAATGATATAATGGAAGTTATTTACTATAAATACTTTTTTTTTCTTTTCTTTCTTTTTTTTCCTGTTAGAGATAAAAAACAACAAACAAACAAAAAGAAATAGAAAGAAAACAGGAAGGGAAGTTTGAATTATAGCTATTTGATGGGTAACATTTGTAGAAGACAGGTTAATTCTTGTAATCCACTGATATCGTCAGCAAAGGACTAAGTCAAATATGTTTTTATTCATCTTGTATATCTATTAATACAATCCATTGCAATAGTTATTCAATATTTATGGCATGTGAGTTGCTGCATATTTCATTCTCTTTTGAAAACTGGGGTAGTTGAAATAGAACAGAAATTCTTTTTATCTGACAGAGCTTTAATCTTTCACTCATCATGATTTACCTGAACCATGGTTTGAAAAAGTAAATAAATTATTTTTTTGCAAGGTAAGGAGTTCCCAAATTAGAATTCTATAGTCATGGTTCTCAGTTATGATACACCTGCCACTCCTTATAAATAATAAGCGTGTGAAGATTGTTTTTTTCACTGACTGCATTATTTTGAGGAAATAGCATCCACCCTGCTGAACAACATTTAAAATCACTCATACTGTAGCCAAAGCAGTCACATTCCACCCTTTAGGAAGTAAAATAATCACTCGCAGCAGTCAGGAAAGACTGTCTACTCTACTTACAAGAATACACATAGTTTGTGGCTCTTCTCTCTTCACAACAAGACACACAGATCCATCCTGGCACCTCTGGGTCCTAAATATCCCAGAGTAAAACAAATTCCCTAAATCTTTAGAATATACCTGGTCCTGTACTCTGTTCTTTCATCATTTGACTCTCACTGAGATTTGTAACCTAACAGCTTGTTTTGCTTGGAAATAAAGATTCACCTGAAAGTTACCTTGGAGGAGAACATCTGCAAATATAGACCTTGAGAGAAAATCACCCACCTTCTTCTAGGTGCCAACCACCTCCAAGCTGTGGGCCCAAGGCTGGCAACTACTGTGACTGAAAAACCTTGCTCCTTGATGCTAGCTCCTGAATGGAGATGGTCGTATATTTGTTAAGACCTGGCTCCAGGTCAAGGATGAAAACAGAGATATTGAGAAGACATCAGGAAAGCCCAGGTAGAGCTAGCATGATCCACAATGCATGTTTCAGAATCAGCTGGCATTTTAGATTTCACTTATTTCATATGGGACAATTCAAATGGAGATCGTATTACAACCTTAAAAACTGACAAGAGAAACAGGTGACAGCTCTTAGTGCTGCTGTACCATAATCCATGCTACCCCAAAATACCCTCTGAGGCAAGAAACTGAAAAACCCCATCAAGGAAACAGCTCCATAAAACAGAAAAATAAAGTATAAACAGAAAAATAAAACCAGACGCCAATATGTACCCAAAGGAACTATTAAAAGCAAAATGTTTGTCAGTATAGGATGCTCCACTGCACACATCTGGTGCTCTCAGCAATACAGAACATTTCTTTAATTGCTACACCTGAGACCAAGAGCAAGAAATAAATCTAGGGGCTGATCTCAATGCATTCTGAGACAGGTGGAGATGAGTAGCAGCATGAGGATTTCATTGTCAATAACCAAGCAGTTATACATTACTGCATTAAACAGATATGTTCAGGATACATCTATGGGTCTATAATTTGATGTCTGTTTTTCAGTTCCTTCTGGTGCAAGACTTTGTAGGGATAACTGTGATAAGCTTCTCATTTGGTGTATATCCTTCAAGATTTTTTGCACATTCCAAAATACCCGTATACAATGTCCAGTGGCAAAGGCAATAGACTACAAGTCAGAGCAGCTGTGCTGACTCCAAGCTGCTGCTTCCTCTCATGGGGTCGTTGCATGTCGCTGAACTTTTCTGTTCCTGTTTTATTTACTCAGACTGCAAGCACTGCTACAAGTTTAGGCAGCACCTTGGATCTTCAATGTCTCTAGGGCCCTTAGAAACGTGCTGCAAGTTAGTACCATCCGTTCAGAGTCACAGCCTCACCCCTTCTGAGCAATTGTGAAGCCAAAGTACTGATAGAAACAAAAGGATCCAAATATAGGCAGCAAAGCAACAAAGGAGGCACCTACCACTCCTCTCACAGGTCATACTTCTAAAGAAGAAAACGAGCTACTAGAGCTACTAGTCCTCTTACTCAACATCTATTGCCTTCACCTCTCAACAGGGTGATGAGAGGTTTCCTCAGTAGTTTAGTGAGTGGTTGGAGTCTATACAAAGGGTACTTCAGACACTACTGTTAAAAGGTTCACATCCTTATTAGAAGTTATATATTTTGCTCTGAACCCAAGCCAAATACTCTGAAATGGACTATAATTTCTTTCAGGCCAACATCAAGGTTCACCTCTTCATAATGACTCAATTTGCTAAAGCTTGTCCTTTCATGAGCAGTAGCACGATGTTTCCCCTTGCCAGATGCTATCATTTCCTACACATTTTCCAGCTCCACTTCATGTAGACCCCATTTTAACCCAAATTTTGAGTTCTCATCCCTGTCATTACCCATATCAACAATCGCCTCTCTTGAACTATGTCTGCCTTGGAGGATTCTTGTCCTCTGCAGAACTGAAAGTTTAGCCGTCCATTGCATTACAGGCACATTTAAGGTCTGGAAAAGATACCAGGTTCCCAACTCTCATTCTTCAGGTTGGTACTCAGATACGTGCTCAGAGCTAAGTACGTTCTGATAGCTTACAAATACTAAGCACATGATTAAGAAGTATCGTTAAAACAGTCACTAGCTTTGAGCAAACACGAGGCAGTTCAAATAGTCTTTTCCATACAATTTGCCCTAGTTTGACACAATTTATTAAAAAGAAAAAACCCTTGATCTGAAAAGTGGAATGGATTTTTTCGTTATTATTATTTTTAAATGACAGAAAATTTTCCCAGGTATGATGGCCCATTGCTGTGATTAATCACAGTGCAGCCAGAGCAGAGGACTGTGTGGAGTGCTCAGCAATCAAAGCCATCAGTCCTGCCTGTTGTGATCAGATTGCAGTTTTTGGCAAGCGTGGGCATCAGTTTCTTGATTTCATCTACAGAGAACAAGCAGAATAGGAGATCAACAACTCCTTTTATGAGCACCAGTGGCTCATTTTATCTGCATCTGTTGGATGTCTATACCTCTGGAACTGTGCTCTGCAGACCTTACCAAGTTCGTATTGGCAATGTCAAAAAAAATGTTACTTTAAAATCATCAAATCAGGACAAACATGAGACTTGCTGATCATTCCCTTTGATGTTCAGGGAGCTGAAAAAAATTTGAATGTGATGGGATTTGTAAGGAATATCGTGCTTTTTATTCTTTTTTCTTCTTTTTTTTTTTTTTCTTTTTAAACACAAAGCTTGAATTTTTACCCTGAAAAATAACATCAAGCAACTTTAGATGTACTCTTGTGCTGATTCAGAAGGAAAGGAAAAAAAAATCAAATCAATACTGGAACTCGAAAAAAAAAACAAAAACAAAACAAAAACCAAACAAACAAAAAAAAAAACCCAACACCCTACTAACAATCTTACCAAAATGAAAACCAAAACAGCCCAAAAACCTATCTGGGCTGGTCTCAAAATCTTTTCTTGCAATATAGTCATTACACAGTATCATATTTTCAAGCTATGTTTTATATACATAATATTGAGCATGCACAAACTATGCCACGACAGTCAAAATTAATGAAGAATGCATATATATCAATGTCACCAAAGCATATCAGAATGAAAAATTTCATTTTCCTCCATCTTCCAGAACTTCATTCAGTGCACTTCCAGACTACATTTTTTTTTTTTTTTTTGTAATGTACAATTCCTCTATCCAAAGTTTTGTGATTAGTTCAATGACATGGTAATTGTTTCTTTCCTGTTTAGAAATATCCTGAATAGGATGAAGTTCAATTTCTGGCTGCAAATACCTCTTCATAATTACCATTGTGTAACTGCTTTTTCTAAAGGATTACATTAAAATTATTTTAGGCATCTATTTCAATTTTATTTAAAATAGATTTCCTGAAGCTGAAAAACCTTTGCATTTACTTTTGGCCTTCTCCTCATTACTGCTTCACGTGTAATGATGCCATAATGATTCACTGCTTGATGTTCTCCAGTTTCAGACTTATTTATTGTAATTGCCTAATTTCTTATGAGAAAGGCAGATAAGGAAATATTTCAAGAGGCTTGTAAATAACTGCCAAGGACCACAAAACTGCAGTTTTTCTTAATTTATATCTAAAATGTTTTGCTGTGCTAGCTCAAATAATGTGTTTATATAATTTTTTTCAGTGCAGCTTGTGTCATTCATCACTCATTAAGCACTATGAGCTACGCATCCTGTTTTAAAACTTCAAGGTATTTTTCTGGTTACCATTACCGCAATGCATTGTATTTTTTTTTTTTTTCCTTGAAAACCAGCAGTAGGGTAATGACGTGACTTTGGAGAAAAGACTCTCCTTTTGATTTAACTCCAGCTATTCTTACCTTTGAAATAAAAAGGGTCCCAGTCCTGCACAGTTGCATGACTCCTTGGTTTCCCAGTGCAAATGTAGTCAGGGTTCAGTCTTTTCTGGATTTCAGCTTCTTGAGAGTTTCACTTATGAAATATACTTTTTACTGTTTTGTAGTTTTTGTTACACCCTTTAAAAATAGTCAAGGAGAAAATACCTATCCTGAAAGCATGACCTTGCAATATTTTTCCATTCTGCCTTCTAGCTCTAGGAGGGCATACGGGCTGGCTAATAAACGCGGTTTCCAGCACCATGCTGCTAACATGATTGATGTTGCGGGTGGCAGTGCTTATGATAATAGGGAAGTTAATGAGAAAAGCCAGGCTGGTTCATGTTTTGTAAGACTCAAAATAAAACTCAGCATTTGTCAATAGGGAAGAGACAAACACTGAAAAAGAAAGAAAGAAAGGTTACAGTCCAAAAAAGCAGGTATTGAAAACAAGAGAATGACACTGTCCTAG